CAAACCTAACCTGCAGAACCTGAACCCATCCGTTCTCTGCTCAGATCTAACTCCAAACCTATTCTGCACAATGCTAAACCCAGCTCCCTCAGCTGCATCACCCGAATTTGCATAACCCAACCCAAAACCTAACCCGCCTATCCCCAACTCCACCTCTAATCCGCACGACCCTGCACCTGCACCTGCACCATCCTGACCCTCTCGAGTCCGGGAGAAAGGGGTTAAAAACCAAATCCTCCACTTCACAGCGCAGGCAGGGCTGCGAGGGACCGGAATAGCAGAGGGACCTTCCTGTGCCAGCCTCCAGGCACCTGGGGCCCCGCTCCTGAGCCGGCTCCCGGCCCGGGCTTGCACAAGGATCGGTCTCCTCTGCAGCGCGGCCCCGGGGGAATCGCCCCGGCCCGGCGGTGAGTGGCGGCGCCGGGGAGACCCAGCGTCGCGGCGAGAGGCGGCCCCGGGGCGGGAGGGAGACAGCAGCAGAGGCAGGAAATCGCTGCTTGGAGGAAGTGGCAGAGCGAGGTGGGGATCGGAGCCGGGGGGGGCAGAGAGAGACACCCCCACTCAGCCAGCTCCGGGGCATCACGGGCTGGGGGGGGGTCTGTGCCCTGAGCCCTGCAGGGTCCCCCAGACCAACTATATTAGCGGTACCCCCGGGCCAGCTAGTCCCCAGGGGGCTGGATCAGAGATCTCCCTCCCCCCCCCGCCCGCCCCAAGGGAAAGGCCCCGTGTCCCATTCCCCACATCCCTGAGCCAGCCAGGACCCGCCTCCCCCCCCAGACCCCATGTCCAATATTCTCCCACACCCCTGAGCCAGCCAGGACCCGCCTCCCCCCCCCAGACCCCATGTCCAATATTCTCCCACACCCCTGAGCCAGCCAGTCTCCTGCTCAGAGCCAATCAGACAGCAGCAGTAGTGGCTTGTGAGTGAAGGGGCCCAGCCACATACCTTCTTCATAGATCAGGGGTAGGCAACCTATGACACGCGTGCCAAAGGCGGCACGCAAGCGGATTTTCAGTGGCACTCGCACTGCCCGGGTCCTGGCCACCGGTCCGGGGGGCTCTGCATTTTAATCTAATTTTACATGAAGCTTCTTAAACCTTTTAAAACCCTTATTTACTTTACATACAACAATAGTTTGCATCTGAAGAAGTGAGGTTCT